TCTCTTCTCTTCTCTTCTCTTCTCTTCTCTTCTCTTCTCTTCTCTTCTCTTCTCTTCTCTTCTCTTCTCTTCTCTTCTCTTCTCTTCTCTTCTCTTCTCTTCTCTTCTCTTCTCTTCTCTTCTCTTCTCTTCTCTTCTCTTCTCTTCTCTTCTCTTCTCTTCTCTTCTCTTCTCTTCTCTTCTCTTCTCTTCTCTTCTCTTCTCTTCTCTTCTCTTCTCTTCTCTTCTCTTCTCTTCTCTTCTCTTCTCTTCTCTTCTCTTCTCTTCTCTTCTCTTCTCTTCTCTTCTCTTCTCTTCTCTTCTCTTCTCTTCTCTTCTCTTCTCTTCTCTTCCTGTCTGGATTTATCTTACATCTCTTAGCAACTTCATATAAATTATATATGAAGAATATATAATCATTTGAAAGAATTAAGATGGTCAGTCTTGATGTGTAATTGTTAGATTGGTACAAAAGGAATTGCTGATTCATAATGTGAATTTTAAATGATTATAGCTAGGCTCAACCTTATCCCCTTTTTTCAAACATGTCCTTATTAATCAAATTAGGAACTATTAAAATCAACATATTTTGGGGGCTGGAGAGTTGGCTCAGTGGTTAAGAGCACTGACTGCTGCAGAAGACCCGGGTTCGATTCCCAGCACCTGCATAGTGGCTATGAACCATCCTTAACTCTGGTTCCAGGGGAATCTGAAGCCCTCTTCTGACTTCTGTGGCATTGCACAACATGGGTGCACTCAAATGCATGCAATATACAAATACACATAAAATTAAAATAATAAAGTATATTTTAAAAATCAACACATTTTTACCAACAAGAAATAAATTTATCACTGTAGTATAAAAACCCATGATTCAGGATTCAAGGATGCATCCTGCTGCTTACAGAAGCATTTTCACTACAAAAACTGTTGAGATCCTTGAAGAAGTAATCACTTGGCAAGAGGTCAGGTGAATATGTTAGATAGGCAAAACTGTGTAGCCCAATCCTTTTGACTTTTGAAGTATTGGTTGTGTGACATGCATTCAGACGTTGTCATGGAGAAGAATCGGCCTCTATCTGTTGACCACTGCTGGCTGTAGGCACTGCGGTTTCAAGTGTTTTTCATTGATTTGCTGAGCACACTTCTCAGATGCAGTGATTTCACTAGGATTTGGAGGGCTATAGTAGATCAGAATGGCCTCAGACTATTCAGACCCTGACCATATCCTTTTCTTGGGTGCAAATTTGGTTTGGGGAAGTACTTTAGAGCTTCTTCTCGGCCATCTACTGAGCCAGTCATTTACAATCCATTTTTTGTTGCACATATAATCTGAGAAATGGTTCATTGTTGTATGGAATTAAGAGAGGATGACAGTTCAGAACATTTTTTTTTTCACTCAGCTCATGAGGCACCCACTTATCGAGCTTTTTTATCTTTCCAATTTGCTTCAGATGCCAAATGGTAGTTAAATGGTTCTTGTTGAGTTCTTTGGTAACTTGTCTAGTTGTAAGATCGGCTTTGATGATTGCTCTCATTTTGTCATTCTCAACTTCCCATGGCCAGCCACGCTGCTTCTCATCGTCAAGACTTCCTTATCTTCTTTACAAAGCTTCTTGAACCACCACTGCATTGTATATTCATTAGCAGTTCCTCAGCCTAATGTGTTGTTGATATTGCAAGTTGTCTGCTGCTTTATTAACCATTTGAAATCAACAAAATCACTCAAATTTTGTTTTTATCTAGAATAATTTCCATAATATCAAGTAAATATAAAATTAATATCAAATAATAAGTCGTTAGAAAACATAAAGCAAAAAATGTGTATTAAAATGATGTATAACATAACCACATTTATTAAGTATGTATTCCAGGGCTGGAGAGGTGGCTCAGCAGTTAAGAGCACTGACTGACTTAGGTTTGGTTCCCAGCACCCACATGGCAGCTAACAACCATCTGTAACTCCAGATCATGGGATCTGACTCCCTCTTTTGGCCTCTCCAGGCATTGTACACACATGGTACACATATATATGCAGGCAAAATGCTCATACATGTAAAATTAAAAAATAATAAATCCAAAAAATTAATTAAAAAATAATGTATTCTAGTATGAAATAGCAAATTCCAACAACACAAAAACTACAGTTATTTTTTGTACCTACCTAAAACTAGATGGTATAAAGAATCTCACTGAGCAAATTATCACTTAGTGAAAAAGTGTCTTCAGAACTGGTTTTTAGATGTTTCAAAAATATAACTTTAGTAGACCTGTAGAATGGAATATTTAATAATCTTGGTGCACTGTGTTAATGAAAAGAAACAGGGCTGAGATATATCATTATCTATAAGAAGGTAACTTCTGATTGAGATGGTATTTATTAGCCTAAGTCACGAGGTGAAAAATACTGTTTGATTTTACACTTCTTTTGTAGATGAATATGTATATTCATCTGTATAGACATTGTCAGTGCTAGACAGCACTTGCGTAAGTAATTTTCTGGTTTTTAAATAGATATGATTTGAGTCTAAATACAAAGTTCAGGTGCCAGGAATCACTCTTCCTACTGTTTTTCTCCAGGTATTTGGACTTTTTTTATGTAGAACTAAATGGCAAGTAATTTTCCTTTTTCTTTTCCTTCTTATCTACACATTTAAACCCCACTAAGAATAGTGATGAACTTCAGGACAGTAGTGAGGTGCTTCCAAGAAAGGTGTTGCAGACTGAATTTAGATCACTGGTGGTTAATAACTCCCCTTCCAGAAATCTGTGCATGGTAAATGATTATGGCCAACTGAAGAATTTCAAGAGATTCAAAAAGGTAAGTGTCTTCATTAACTGTGTCACAAGAGGGCAGTGTTTGGTGTGTTTTCAGAAATACTGCTGGCACTAAATAGTAATAAAACCAGTATTTTTAAAAATAATGTTTGCATTTTAAATTTATTCTGTATGTATGTGAACACACATGCCACAGCACACATATGGAGGACAGGACAACTGGGAGGAGTCAGTTCTTTCCTTTCACAGGGTCTGAACTTGGTTGGTAGGTTGGGGGACAAGTACCTTCACCCTGTGAACCATCCTGCCAGGCCCTTAACAGTACTATTTTGAAAACCTATGCTATTTCTTCTACTTAAAAGTTTTTTTTTTAATTAATCCCAAAATAACACGAACTAACAATGAATATAAAACCCCTAGAAGGAAATGGATTTAATTCAGACAGTTATAAGGTTGCTGTTTTCCCCATCTTAAGCATTAATTGTGCTTTTACCTGTAATGTCAGGGTCCTCCCAGTTATGCATCTGATTTGTGACTACCTGAAGAGGTTCTTTATCTCAGGACTTTATAAATATAAAAAGAATGGTTGAAAATAACTAGACAAATTCAATAGTGAAAAATTACAGGCATTTTATTATTGGTGTTATATACATAGAACTGTGTACTTGATATTACCTTCAGACCTGAGTTCCTCCTTATTAAGAAACTGCTAGGTTATCATGAGTATGGTTAAAAGAACTTTTCTGATCCAGCTGTCTTCTTTCCTTGTCTGTTCTGCTTTTTGATCCACATGTACCAGCCTTTGCTTGTGCATTTGATCAAAGTAACTACGTTATAACAGACAGCTGGGATTGCAGCTCCAGCACCACATTTAGTTTTTATTTAGAAACATGTATTTTTTGTTGTTGTTGTTGGGGGGTATCCACATGGTACGGCATGTGTGTGGAGGTTAGAGAACAATGTGAGGGGTCAGTTCTCTCACCATGTGAGTCATGAGATTTGAACTCAAGTTGTCAGGCTTGGTGGCAAGTGCCTTCACCCACTGAGCCATCTCACCCATCCTGCTTTTGTTTTGGAGGGGATAGGATCTTCCATGTAGTTTGAGCTAGTGTGAAACTCACTCTGTACTAGACTGACCTTAAACTCTTTGCAGTCATCCTTTTGCTTCTCAAGTGCTAGAGTTTTAAAACTTTGAAAGTTTTAAAATAAGATAGTGTGTTTGTTTACTTTGAGTAAAAAAAATTATAGTGTTTGTTTACTTGGAGTTGCTTTGATTGCTAGATAATAAGCTAAAGTCAATTTTTTTAAGTACAAATTAAAACTCTTTAAATTTTTTTTAGTTCGTAAAGCTTACATCAATTAGAAAAGGGTAAAAATAGATGGGTCTAGCACAGAGTTATCTGTGTCTCATTTTCACCTATACAATATAAATACCTTTGACATATAAACATGATTTATACTCTTCGCTTTTGTAATCAGTTTTAAACTAGTTATCTTAATTTGTTATTTACCAGGTCACATTTCCTGGAGCAGGAAAGCTTCCTCACATCATTGGTGGATCCGATCTAATAGCTCATCATGCTCGAAAGAATACCGAGTTGGAAGAGTGGTTGAGACATGAACTGGAGGTTAGTAGGAAGGGAGGCCTTCACACTTTTATGAATTGCCCTTTAACCCTTTGTGGCTTTTTAGCGTAAACTGCTTGTTTTATTGTGGGTGGAGTGTATGTATTTGTGAGTATGTATGCAGTATGTGCCCATATATACACAGAGGTCAAGTTGACTTCAGATGTTTTCCTCTATCACTCTCTATTTTTTTGAGATAGAATCTCTAACTATACTTGGAACTCACCATTTAGGTTAGACTGGCTGACGAGTGAGCCTTCTGAATCTGCCTGCCTCTGTCCCCCAGTGCTTGGGTTACAGGAATGTGCTACCACACCTGGCTTTTGTCTGGGTACTGGGGATCTACACTCAGGTCATCATGCCCGTTGCAACATGTACTTTACTCAAAGAGCCACTCCCTACCTCTGCATGAACCCCCTTAAAACAAAATTAAAATAAGTGAACTAAAATTCATTCAGGAAAATCACTGAGTTATAGATTATTTAGATTAAGCTTTACCTTTCCATAATATTTTTAAAATTTATTTTTATTTTATGTGTATGAGTGCTTTGCCTGCATGTATGTAAGTGCATGTTGCACAGTGTCTGTGGAGGCCAGAGAGAGCATTGGATCCCCTGGAACTGGAGTTACAGGAGGTTATTAGCCACCATGTAAATGCTGAGAACCCAACCTGGGCTCTCTGGAAGAACAGCCAGTGTTCTTAATTGCTGAGCCATCTCTCCAACCCCTCCATGATACTTCTTTAAGATAATTATAGATTTTTATTAGGTAAAAAAGTGAAATCAGCTGGGTGTGGTGGTGCACACCTTTAATCCCAGCACTTGGGAGGCAGAGGCAGGCGGATCTCTGTGAGTTCAAGGCCAGCCTGGTCTACGTAGTGAGTTCCAGGACAGCTGAAGCTACAGAGAGACTCTGTCTCAAAAAGACCAAAAAAAAAAGTGAAATCATAAAAATAATTGTTTTTCTGGTTGTAATATTTTATTTTGCTGAATTACATTTGAGAAAGAGAAGCTAACTGCTTCCTCTACTTTAATACTAGTATATTCTGGATTGTATTATATAAATATATGAATAGAAACTTAAAAGATCATAAATTTCCCATGAGACATCATTTAGTCTGTATCATTGGTATGTATTTGTAAAACATTTTAACACTGCAAACATTAGACGTTTTAAGACCAGGCATGGGAAAAGGTTTATCTCTACTCTACTACAATGGTGTTGGTGTAGTCTACACAAGGCCTCTCAGTAAAGGCAATCAATTGGAGGTAGGAGTTTATCAATGAATTGCTTGACATCTATCATTTCCTGCTGACATGAACTGTGCATCATGCCTTCATAGATTTTGAAGGTTACATTGGCTGGATTCACCAGCGTTTTTAATTTTTCAAAAGTAAGAGAACCAAACATTAGGGGAACTAAAGGGTCACAATCTCCATGGCACTGGAGAATAGAAGTATCTCTGTTAGCACTACTGATAGGACCCTGTGGAAAGGAAGCCTGCAGTGGAAACCAGCAGCTGAGTGCAGTGAGGCCTGCCAGTTCTGCTGTGTGTTGAGAGCAGTGTATAAAGACAAAGCTCCTCCTTCAGAAAATCCTCCCAAAATAATTTCTGTTAGAAGGGAGGCCATTCTTCACCTCTTGATGTATCAAAGCTTTTACAGTTTCTGCTGCCTGTTTAATTCAAGATTCATCTCCTGGGAATCTGGTCAAAGTCCAATAATATCAAACCAAGAAGGCATAGCCATATTCATATTTAATGTAACAGGCATAACTGGTGCATGTGGGCAGATGTATTTGATGTGTGAGCTTCTGATATCAGCAAAGGCTTCTGTCCATCCGTGCCCAGTATCTCCCAAGCCGTGAAGGAAAATAACCGCGTAGGTGGCCGTCAGGGCAGTGGGAATGACAGCGGGCAGCTGAGCATACAGCTATTGCCGCACATCTACTGTCTCCTCAGACAGCGCATCAGAAGCGGAAGGGAGAGCTGGCGCCCCGCGGCCCAAGGATGTGCAGGTAGCGAGTCCTGCCAAATCCCACCCACCCCACTGGGTCATAAAAATAAATTTTAAAAAGGGGGGGGGACTGGAGAGATGGCTCAGCGGTTAAGAAAACTGGTTGTTCTTGCAGCAAAACCAGGGTTCGAATCCCAGCACCCACATGGCAGCTAACAGCTGTCCTTAACTCCAGTTCCAGGGGATCTGACAGCCTCTTCTAACCACCGCAGGTATTGCATGACACGGGTACACTTACCTACATGCAGGCAATACACACATACACATAAAATAAAAATAATTTTTAAAAAAGTGAAATCAGAGCTGTGTGTGGTGGCACATGCCTTTAATCCTAGTACTGGGTAGGCAGAGGCAAGTGGATCTCTGTGAGTTCTTGGCCAGCCTGGTCTACATAGCAAGTTCAGGTCAGCCATGGTGGCATAGTGAGACCCTATCTCAAAATACAAGCAAAACAACAACAAAAATGTAGAGTTGGGACTGGAGAGATGGCTCAGCGGTTAAATGCACTACACAGCAGCAGACATTAGCCACTGGCTGTTCTTGCAGAGAACCCAGGTTCAGTTTCTAGCACCCACATTGTGCTAACAATCGTCTGTAACTCCAGTTCCAGCTGGCTTCTGTGGCCATTGCATGCACAGGTATACTTATATACATGCAGGCAAAACAGTCACACACATAAAATAAAAATAATTGTTTAAAATGAGATTAAAAATAGATTAAGTGTACATCCTAATGTAAAGGTAAAAGAAAGACTTAAGCCACAAAAATGTTTAACTAATGAAGCCTAACAGTGAGAAGGATGGCCATGAGGTCATGTGGAATCTGTTTCAAATATATCAGTATTAAGATGGTGACGAACAGGCCTTTAAAATCTGCAAACAGTATTCTCGAAGCTCTGAATATTATTTTCTTGAACAGGACCTTTTACCTGTTTTCTCTATAGTTTCTTTGTGGAACTCCAATTTGACATAAGTTTTCTTTATCATTTTTCTTTATCACTTTTTTTGCTAATTTCCTTTGATTGTCTTCCTGTTGACTATTTCTGTCTTCAACACTAATTTGTATTTCATCCAGTAATGGAGTTTTAAATTCAGTCTGTTGTATTTTTTCATTCCTGCAAGTCTGTTCCGTTTTTGTTCTAAATCTTGGTATTTCCCTGCCAGTATTTTTGCCGATGATACCAATGTCTAAAATATTTGTTGGTCTGTTTTCTGCTCTTAGGATGTGTCATTTCCTCCAAGGGCATACACTTTGTGGTCTTTAAATGCAAATTATTATTATTTTTTAAACCTCATCTGTAGGATTTTCTTCTATCTGAAATTAAGGTTTGTTCTCTCCAGAAAAGATGTATTTATATCTGTCCGTCTTATTGTTTTGTGGTGCTGCAGGTTGGACCCAGGGTCTGGTACCTGCTGGATAGACAAACACTCCACACTGAAGTACATCCCAGCCTTCACTTTAAATTGAAGTCTGTTCTTTTGATTTTCTTCGTTGTTGATCACTCGGACAGTTGGTATCCATGTAGAACAGAATAACGAGTGGCAGCGGTCTTGCTGTCATATACTTCAAGTGAAAACTATGTATTCTTTGTTGCACTAAGCGTCAGGTTGAGACAGGCAAGTTCCCTTGCTCTCTTTCGCTTCTCCCACCAGCATTGAGTCTTATTGGATAGAGACCCTATTGTTTTCTGGATGTCATTTACACTCCCCATATAGCAATGAAAGGGAAACCTGGGTGTTTCATGGTTTGCAGACACCCGCAGAGCTAGCAATGAAAGGGAAACCTGGGTGTTTCATGGTTTGCAGACACCCGCAGAGCCGAGCACTATGTGGTTGTGCTACTTGCTAACCTCTTAAGGTACCTTCTTTTCTTTTATTGTGCAGCAATGATTTTTCAGCAATTTATTTCTAAACCACCTTTTTATTAGTATATACAAATTACACAGAATGCCTTTCATTATAACATTTTTGTACACGTACATAATGTATTTTGACCTTGTTGACCACCTATCCCCCTCTCTTCTGTTGTTCTTTCCTTTTCCCATTTAGCCCCCCTTTTACTTTCAATGGCTTTTCTTTTTTTTTTCTTTTTTTTTTTTTTGGTGACATAATGATAATGAGTGTCATCAGGGTTGGTTACAGGAGCTTGCAAAATTTACCAGTGGCTATACCCAGCAACCATTAACTGCTTGTAAATCTTCAGAGAGGGGTTAGGCCTCATGAGCCCCTCCTATGACTAAGGCTACTTTTTAATTTATTTTATTGTCTTTTTTTTTGAAACAGGGTCTCCCTGTAACTCACACTGTCCTGGAACTCACTATTGAGACCAGGCTGGCCTTGATCTCACAGAGACCCACCTGCCCCTGCCTGCCAAGTGCAAGAATTAAAGACATGGGCTACAATACCTGGTCAAAGCTAATTTTTTATTCAAGGAGTTTTTCTTGGTCGGAGAAAAAGGATCAAGGCATTCCTAGAAGTATTATAGGAGCAGGTCAATATATATAAAGTGTATGAAAGTAATCCCCTTCCTATTCTATTTCCTGTTTCTAAAAATCCACTTAGTCTACTGGCCTGTGATGCTGGACATATCAGGTATTGAACTTATAAGAACAAGAACAGATTCTGTGCTTGATACTAGCCAAGAGGCTGAAAACCAGTGGGGTTAAATAAGGATTATTAGGAAGCTTCTCATAAAAGTAGAAATGGCAGAAAGGCCATTTTATGAGATTGTCAAATATGAAAGAGTGGAAGTCGCAGCTTTTCTTTCCTTTAAAAAGGTTTTCTTTGTTATAATTGTGCATTTTAAAGAATTATGAAGTACACAAAAGAATGAAGTTAAAACCCAAAGCCCAGAAATTACCTGCTTAAACATTAAGTGAATAATAGTCTACACAGATCTTTGTTGAGGAGGGGATGAGAGGCAGAGACAAACTGGGAAGGGGAGAGCTTGATAAAGGAAGTCAAACTGGAGACATTGCTGAATTTGTGTAAATGTTTCTTCCCTCAAATGTATTTTATTTCTTGAGATTTCCTATAAAACTAAGGGAGAAAATATAAAAAACATTGAGTAGGAATCACTGTTTTGTTTAGAAATGCATATTTCAGTTTTATGTACTTTTTGTTTTTTTCTCTGCTGTAAGGAATGAGGACATTATTCATATTTCCTCATACCTTCCTACACACACACACCTGTTTTCCCCTCTTTTAGTGGCTTCCATGTGTACAGTGTTTTCTTCTAAAGTTTGAAAATCAATAATAATCAGAATATATCTTAGTGTTCTGATCATGCTCTGTTAGATCCTGGATATGATAAACTATTGATATACAGTTATTTTTCATCAAAAAGCTTTTCTATTATGTACTGCAAAATGTTTTTATATTTGCTAGGCTCTACATTTACTGTACAACTGTCCTTTCATCAGATGAGTAAGCTAGTAGTGTGTGTTGGTTATCTTTGAGAGGAAATTGGCTAGACAAAGTTATTTAATTATAGCAATTTTGCAATAATCTTAGCACAAAGGAACATAGAAGGGATTGGCTGAATGGGAGAGACTGTGATAGAATATACAGACTAGAAACATCTGGGATATGAAAATCTGGAAGATGGCTATATAATCAGTATAGTAGTTCATTAGCTATATATTCACCACTGAGCAAATGTTTCAAATTATGTTAACTTTGACAGGTACAGAAGCAACATGCAAAAGAAGAGTCTCTTGCTGATGATCTCTTTAGGTAAGAATTGACTTTGCTCTCATGTCCTTTAGAGAGATTATATATAATTCAGTTCTGTTCATACCAATTAGATAGTTCTTTTGTCTTTATAATAGATACCTACTCTCTTCGCCTAAAGAATGTTTTGCTTTAGGGGCTAGAGAGATGCCTCAGAGGTTAAGAGCACTGGCTGCTCTTGCAGAGGATCTGGGTTCAATTTCCAGCACCCACATGGCAGCTAACAACCATCAGTAACTCCAGTTCCAGGGAATCCAACACCCTCTTCTGACCTCCACAGGCATTGCACTACATGGGTACACTTACATACATGCAGGCAATACACTCATACACATAAAATAAAAAGAATATTTAAAAAAAGAATATTTTTCTTTAGTTATGAATTTCTTTTTATTACTTGAGTACTTATTAGTTGAGTTTATTGGATATAGCTTCAAGATTTGAGGTTAATTCATTTGTGTCATAAGACATTTAAAATTTGCATGGGGTCATTCAAAAAGATTTTTAAACTAGGCATATTTGAATTGAGATTTTTGTTATCAGTAAAATTAAGAATGAATAGATTTTTAATTCAGACAGGTAAAAGGCCAGACTATTTGTTAAGGGTTTTATTGCTGTTATTGTGTTCCTGAGCTAGGGTCTCACTGCTTAGCCCTGGCTAGTCTGGAGCTGCTCTGCAGACCACACTGGCCTTGAACTCACAGAGATCCATCCACCTGCCTCTCCTTCCCAGATGCTGGGATTAGAGTCATGTGCTACCATACCCGGCCCATTTGCTTAGTTTTAATTTTACACATGGATAAAAATCAAAGCTTGGATTAGAGTTCTGAAACAGTGTTTTTGTGGCAGATTTTAGAGAAGTTGTTAGGAGTGTTTACCAATGAAATACTGTATCAGAGACATATTAACTTTTTTTTTTTGTCTTTTTGAGACAGGGTCTCCCTGTAGTCCCAACTGATCTGAACTCACTATGTAGACCAGGCTGGCCTTGAACTCACAGAGATCCGCCTGTCTCTGCCTCCCGAGTGCTGGGATTAAAGGCATGCACCACCAGGCCCGGCTGACACATTAACTTTTTCTCAAACTTATAGATGTCTTATAGATGTATAGATGTCTTATAGATGTGTAGATGTCTTAATCTTTTTTTTTACAGTATGTGTATATGTGTGTGTGTGTATGTGTGCATGCACATTTGTACATGTGTGTAGAAGTCAGATGACAATTTGTAGGAGTCAGTTCTCTCCTTCCATCATATGGAGCCTGGGTATCAAACTCAGGTCATCGGACTTGGCAGCAAGCACCTTACATGCTGAGCCATCCCACTGGCCCCCTTAATCTGAAAAATTTTTTGCAGCACATTTTATAAGTCTCTTGACTTGACAGTTGACAGTATAAATCATGGATGAAAATGTTGATAAACAACACTGATTTTTTTTCATAAGTAGTCAAATGAGATTGGTTACCCAGCTGTATTTGCTGAGTTTCTATAGGAGAAAATTTTGTAGAGTGGTGATTATATTGTAGATTCATTAGGATCTTTGCACAAATTATGTACTTTAATTTTAAAAATGGTGATGTTTGAACCCACACTAGATTTTTAAAAATTTTTATTTCTTTTTATTGTATGTGTATGAGTGTTTTGCCTGCATGTAAGTGCACCACACATTCATGCAATACCCATGGAGACTAGAAGAAGGTGTCAGCCCCTGGAACTGGAGTTACAGATGGGTTATCAGCCATCATGTGAGTGCTGGGAACCATTCCAAGTCCTTTGCAAAAATAGCCAGCTTTCTTAATCACTGAGCCATCTCTCCAGCCCACACACCAGATTTTTAAAAACTATTTTCATTATTTCGGTGCTTCATAGGATTTTTGTTGATGTTTTTCCACATATTCATTTAGGTGACATCAGAGGGATAAATGGAAAGGAAAATGTAATGTGTTATCTGATTATATTGTATTATCTGATTGATATTCTCATACAGTTTGCCAAAGTGTGACTATGGTTAAAGACCTTTCAGTTTCAAAATGAAAGAAATTTGATCCCTTATCTAAATGTCCTTTCACCTAGTGTTTTCCTTCACAGATATAATCCTAATGTGAAAAGAAGATAACCGAGATCTCCGTAAGGAAGCGATGAAAGCACATTACTCACCAAACATTTACTTCTGGCTGACTGACATACGTGAATATACTACACAGAAATTATAAATGCTTTAAGACCTCAATTTATTAAATAAAACAAACAAAACTCCATTCCTTTTGTGAGCAGTAATATTATTTTCTTTGTTTTTAGGCTTCATTGTCTTTTCATGTATGTATTTTTTCATTTTAAACATTTCTTACTATTAATTAATACAATCATAGTCCAAAATCCTGAAACTGCATTGAGTAAAGACCAAAGTCTCCCTTCTACTATTCATTCTGTGGGTTCCTCTCAAAAAAAAAAAAAAAAAAATGCATGGTACTTCCTGTGATTCTTTGTAGATGCGTCATTCCTATTCAAATGCCTGTGTATAACATTTTTTAGTAATTCCATATGTAATTTGTATTATAGCTATGTACCCTCTTCTTTTACTTACTTATTTTATGTGTATTGCCTACATGTATGTAAGTACCCCCATGTTGTGTCATGCATGCAGAGGGCAGAATGTGTCAGATCCCTTGGAACTGGTTGTTAGCCACCATATGGGTGCTGGGAACTGAACATGGGTCCTCTGGAAGAGCAGCCAGTGTCTTAGAAAATGCTGAGCCATCTCTCCAGCCCCACCTTGTTCTTTTTCACTTTAGATAAAGCCATTGGCCAATCAGTGTAACTTTTTCTTTTCCATTATTCTGCCAGCTTCCCTAAACTGATGTGACCCAATGAAATGGCTTCAGTGGTGAAGACGTCTCCCACATCTTACTCTAGTGCTAGAAATTGAAGAACATGCAGACTTCAATCTGGCTAGATCGTACTAGAATAGAGAGACTAGACTCCTTTTTGGTTGTCTTACTGAGCAGATGTGACTCTGCTTTGACCTTCTTAAGGGTTCAAGCCTTCTCCCTGTAAAGAATAAATGGTGAGGCCGTCTTGTACCTTAAAGGAACCTGGTAATAAGAAATGGATGGCTTTTTGTTTTTTCAAGTCTATTAAGTAGAGAAGTGGACTTCAACTCTGGCTGTATTAAGGTGAAATTATCTCTGAAAACTGATAGATTCTAGAAAGTACAAGCTTTCTTGTCCATATAAGTTTTGCCTCCCTAGTAATTTTATCTTTTTGTAGATTATTAGAACATAGCATAGGAACAATTATGGCATAACTTAACATATATATATATATATATTTGTTAGGTCTTTGTATAACATTCTATGTGGTCATCTCCCCACCCCCACCCCCATTTGCAATCAAAGAGGTCACATAGGTAACTGCCTGGCTAAGCTAGGCAGAACATACTATTTCTTTTATGCAGCTAGTTTATGAATATCATAGGCTATTGTTTATTTTATTCTCATCCTCCATTATACTTTCAAATTCTTTGTTTAGGAAGCATTAAGCATATGTCCACACAGTGAAGGAGTATGATTAATCAGTAAAAGTCTTTAGTTTAAAAACTGCCAGTTGTTAAAATTCCTTTCATTTAGCTTAGATGTTACTCATTGTGTTCCTGTTCCTTAGATGTGTCAGCACTGTTCAGTCTCACGGGTTGTTTAGCTCTGCGCTGGACAACTTGAATCACACACCTGTTTCAGTAGAGTAGGTGCTTTTCCCCTAGACTCTGCTGGAAAGATTTCCTAGTTTTTATGTTTTAGTGGGGTGATAACTGCCTACTTCACTTCCTTTTTGTCCTTGGGGGATGGAAACTACCTCTATTTTCAACTTACAAAGTTATGGATCAGCCCAGCTTCCCACCGGGAGGTAGGAGGTAACCTGCCCTGTGGCCAATCTCCCTGGTGTTCATGCCTACCTTACTCTTCAGAAATGTCTTTCTCCAAGACTTCCTAATTCTACAACTACAGCCCTGTGATTGGTCACATTGTGGAAGTCTGTGTCTTTTCTTTTTTCTCCTCTCTGCTCTTTTTTTTCCCTTTCTTCCCTCCCTCCCTCCCTCCCTTCCTCCCTCCCTCCCTTCCCTCCCTCTTTTCTTCCTTCCATTAGGACAATGAGCCAGATTCTTAGGATATTGTACCAAGTAAAGACTGGGTTAAAAATCTTCCTTAACAAGCTTGTCTGTATAATTTCTTTTTGAATGTTTTGCTATTTTTTGACTCAGCTGACTGAATCTATAAAAGTATTGCATAAGTTTGGTTCTCCTTATAAAATGATCTAGAACTGACAAACTGGGAGGTGTCTTTCTGTTGTCCTCTCCCTCCCCGCCCCTGCGTGTATATACACACATAAAGGCCCAGGGTCATCCAGTATCTTCCTCAATCACTCCATCCTATTTTTTGAGACAGGGTCTCACACTGAACCTGAAACTCTAGGATTTGGCTACATTGACTGTACCTTCCCAGCACAAGGTTTACAGGCCTGGCTTTTTTTTTCCTCTATGAGTGCTGAAGGTGCTTGTGTGGTAATGTGGTAATCACTTAACTGAGCCATTCCCCCAGCCCTTGGAAGATCTTTTACTGCTATGAACTGCAATTGAATTATTTCCAATCTGTCCTTGTAGACAAGCTAGGAGCATCAGCTTTGTTAGCAAATTGAGAGACCATAACATCAGACCAAAAGGTCTGTATTTTATTTTACGGTCAGTGGAGGAGTTATTGTTCGCACTTCTTAAATGGAAATTTTGAGATCACTGTGCCAGTATTGTGTAAGGTATATTAAGACATAACAGCCACAATTATTTTTACACTAAACAATAATAAAGCAAACAGACACCACTGTATTTTCACAGGAATGAACCGAATTAGAGGAATCAAATGGGTATGTAGAGTAGGAACTGGTTCTTATCTGGGCCTTCAGGAAAAATTCCAGTAATTTAGAGAAGACATGCTCAGATAGCTCTCATCAGTAAAGCTCACTTGGAGCTCTTTGTTGTGATCCAGGGTGAAGGAAGCTCCAAGAATCACTACAGCTAATCAGTTGTTGCCGAATGAGGAATGGAACAGTACTAAGAGAAACCCCATCTCTATGACTTCCCCTGTAAGTAGAAACAGAAGACAAGGAATCCAGCCTCTACCTTAATTTCACCTTCCATCTACTTGAGGGAATCTTACTGACCTTGCAAATTCAGACTACTTGATACTGAGTCAAAGAAAAAATTTTTTGTGTGCCTAAGGATTGAACCCAGGGCCTTCCTCATGCCAGGCAAGTGCTCGATCACTGAGCTCCATTACCAGCCCAGAAACGTAATTTTTAAGTTTGCTTGACTTTCATAGAAATTGACTGTTTTCTTAGTACATTTTGATGAACAGAGGATTAGTTTTTATTTTTTGAAACAGGGTCTCATGTAGTTCATGTTGTCCACGAACTCATTATGTAGCAAGGATGACCTTGATTTTTTGATCTTCTGCCTCTCCCTCCCAAGTACTTGGAGTACAGTCAGTCATGTCCACTGTTTATGTGCTGAAGATTGAGCCATGGCTTCATACATACTAGGCAAGCACTCTACCAACTGAGCTACATCCCCAGTCTGAGCCTTTGCTAACAAAGATTTATTTTTATTTTTTGTGAATGAGTGTATTGCCTGCATCTAAGTGCACCTATGTTATGCAATGCCCACACAGGTCCGATGAAGGCATCCGATTCCCCTAGAACTGGCATTATAGATGCTTGCTAGCTGCCATGTGGATGCTGGGAATCAAACCCAGGTCCTCTGTGAGAGCAGCTAGTGCTCTTAACTGCTGAGCCATCTCTAGTCCCTGAGCTTTAAATTTTGATAGTCAAATTTATTTTTTTCTTGCTATTTTTCCTCTCACAAAAAAAAATTTTTTAGAAGAAGCATTTCATTACAACAGCATTGACATATTCAATAACAAATTTTCTGAGCTAAGATGCATCTTTTTCA